TCCCGCACCCAAATCCCGGGATATGGGGGTCACCCAGCCGGCCGGGGGGATGGCAGCACCCTGGCACTGCTTTTAGGGGACATTTTCATGACATTCCACGTGTACAGGCTCGGGGCTGTGACCCTGAGCCGGGCACCATCCCAGCCTCGGATCCCGATGTCCTGGAGGGGGCACAGCAGGATGCCCTCAATGCCCTGCTCCTCTCGGGGTACGGGTGAGGAGCCTTCCTGCTCCTGGAGGGGTGGTGGGGGATGCTGAGCTGCTCCTGCTGCTGCCGCAGGGATCCTTCGAGCTGGGATTTACAGACTCTGCAAGACCTGGGGCCGCTCGTGAACCAGACCGCTCTGAGTTTGGTGCCCGAGGTAAGGACCCTCCTGGGGGGAGATGACCACCAGGCAGCTCAGCTCCGAGGCCGGGGGACCTGGGATCCTGTGCCCTCCGCTCCCAACACCCTCTGGCCCCGCAGGCAGCACGGGAGGATCTCAGGAGGGGCATCGCAGCCTCCGACATCAGCCAGGGACGTTCCCAGCGGGAGAAATCCCTGCCCCTCCCCAGGGCGCTTGCAGCAGCAGCAGCTGGAGCCAGGCTGGAGCGCAGCGCCGCCCGTGAGTGCTCCCCTTCCCTCAGAGGGGGAAATGCCCCGGGGCTGGTCGGCAGCTGGGAGCTCCCGGATGGACCAGGCAGAAATCTGGGATTCCCACATCTGGGGAACTGGGGAAATGTTCTTGGAGGACGGGGCGGGTGTTGCTCCGGGAGCGAGGATGCGGTGCAGCGCTCAGGAAGGAGCTGGGACGGTGGGACAGTCCCCAGGCAGGACGCTGCAAGAGCAGAGGACGTGGAGCAGTTTGAGCTGCCTGTAACGGGACAAAGCACAAGTGGGCTGCAAAACATCACCAGATTCTTCAGGAATAACTTCAGGGAATGACAGCAAATGAGGCACCTCTGTGGATTTGGGACCAGGGGATGGGAGCAGGATCCACGGTGGCTTGAGCCACCATCACTTTTTGTGATTCCCTGTCCTTCAGCAGGGCTCTTCCAAGGGGCTCTGAGCCCTGTGGCAGGAGCAGGGCAGGGTGGGGACACACAGCCGATACCTGACACAATTCCTTGCCCTCAGGCTGCCAGTCCGAGCCCATTACCGCCAGCAACATCGATGATACAGTCCCCTACCTCACTTTTGACCAGCTCGACCTTTGCCTGAGCAGTGATGTCTTAATAGAAAACCTGGAGGCTGTTCTGGAACAGCCAATCACCACAGATACTTACCGGGTCCTGAAAAGAAAGGTGGATGAGGTAAGGGGTGACACCGGGCACGAGCCGGGATGGGCAGGACACAGGAATGAAGGCGCCCAGGTGGGTCCTTTGCACTGACTCCTGCCCCATTTTCCCTTCCCTCACCCTCCTTCCTGCCCCACCGGCCCGGCCCCACAGTTTTTCCCGTCGGGGATCCCGGAGAAGCAGCTGAGGCGCCTGGGGCTGCTGTCCCGTCTGTACACGGTGCAGGAGATCAGCCAGTGGCCGCTGACATGCAGTGACACCCTCTCAGTGCTGCTCGACCCCTCGGAAGGAGAGTGGAATGATTCCCAGGTAAATCCATGGCAGCAGAAGGGGATGGGCGATGAGGAACCCAAACTGGGACTGGCCCTGGCTCAGCTCAGCTCAGGGTGGAGGCACTGGGGGGTTTTTTGGGGGGTTGGCAGCACTGCCATCCTTACCAGCAGCATCTCCCCTCCTTGCTGTGCTCCCCACGTGCCCCTCAGGTGCAGCAGCTGCTCAGCAGGTACCTGGCCCTGGGGGGCTCCCTGACCGGGCCCCTGCTGCAGCAAATCGGAGGCAAGCACCTGTGTGAGCTGCAGGAGGAGCAGATCCAGCAGATCCCTGCCCAAGCCATCGGGTGAGCCGCTTCTCAGGGAGGCTGCTCAGCCCTGAGAGGCCCCGGGGATGTGGGGAGGGGGTGGTGGGATGGCAGACCCCCAGCTCTGTTGTGGATCTCCCCATTCCCAATCAGCACAGTGGGATGTGATCCAACCCCAGATCCCACCTGAGCCCCAGGACCATGAGCAGGGATATGCTGCTCGTCCCTCCCAACCACCAGAACAATTCATCTGCAATTTGGGATGCTGCTGACCTGTGCCCCCCCTTCCAGGACTGCTGGGCAGTTAAACATTTCTTCGTGCTCCCAAACCAAGAAGGAGCAGCTCTATGGGAAGGCCTGGGAGGCCTTTGCCAGCCTGGCCAGCACCCCTGGCCCCTATTACTGCCAGATCCGGCCGTACCTGGGTAAGTGCTTCCCCTCCTCCAGGTTCGGGGTCTCTTCCAGCCACAGACAGGTCTGGCAGTCTCCAGAACATCTTCAAGTCCTCTCCAGAAGTGCTGGAAGGGTTTGCACATCTCCAAGTGCTCTCTTTAAGGTGGAGCTCCAGCAAAGGATCTGAAGGAGTTGGCTAATGCTGGTGTGTCCATAAACATGGATCTGGACACCTTCCTCTCCCTAAATCCCCAGGAACTGCAGGTACAGCCCTGAGATGCTGCTGTCCCTCTCCCCAGGGAAGGGCAGGGCTGGCTGAGGAGGGGGGTCTGAGGTCAGAGCCCAACCAAATCACCAGTTCTCCACTTGCTCACCTTTAGGAATTTTCCTTAGGAAGTTTCAGTTGCTCTGCAGCCCCGTTAACAAAGCTTTTGGGGCTGTGAGGGTGAAGGAAGGGGCTGCTGTGTGTGTGTGTTGCAGAAACTCAGCGTCACCGACGTGAAGAATTTGCTGGGGGAAAACCTCTCTGAGCTGAAGCAAGCTGAGCATGAGCCCTTGGTGGTGAGCTGGGTGCAGAAGCAATCCCAGCGGGAGCTGGACTGTGTGCTGGGAATCGGCCTGCAGGGAGGGCTGCCAGAGCCCACGGGGACAGCCAGCCCTGCTGGCACCTCCCCAGCCAGTGTCACCTCCATGGTCACCACCCCTGTGCCCACCACCTCAGCCAGTGTCACCTCCATGGTCACCACCCCTGACAGTGTCACCTCCACAGGCACTGTCCTCACCTCTCCTCACCCTGCCACCTCAGCCAGTGTCACCTCCATGGTCACCACCTCTGTGCCCACCACCTCAGGCAGCGTCACCTCCATGGTCACCCCTGTCCTAAATCCCTCATCTTCCCCCACTGCCACCCCCAGCACTGTCACCACTGTCCCCAGTCCTTCATCTTCCCCCACTGCCACCCCCAGCACTGTCCCCCTTGTCCCCAATCCCTCATCTTCCCCCACTGCCACCCCTAGCACTGTCACCACTGTCCCCACTGTCCCCAATCCCTCATCTGCTCCCACTGTGACACCTGTCCCTAATCCCACATCTGCTCCCACTGCCACCCCCAGCACTGTCACCACTGTCCCCAACCCCTCCTCTTCCCCCAGTGCCACCTCCAGTACTGTCACCACTGTCCCCAACCCCTCCTCTTCCCCCAGTGCCACCTCCAGTACTGTCACCACTGTCCCCAACCCCTCCTCTGCCCCCCACACGCCCACCCCAATTCCCAGCTCCACCATCTCCCCTACGACCGGGCCGTGCCAGCCCAGCTCCCCTCCAGCATCCCCCAGCCCGAGCCCTGGGAACGTTCCAGAGCCACCACAACCAACATCCAACGGCTGCATCAACCTGGAGCCGGGGCCAGGTAAGCTGGGAATGTCAGCCCTTGGAAAAGGCTTGGGAATGACGCTGAGGACGATGCTGGCCCCTTGTTCCTGGTGGGATTCGGTGCTGGGGACCAGGTGGGGATGTGACCCTGGAGCTGCCCTCAGCTTCACCTCAAAGTGTCTCATCCCCTTCCGAGCCCACTGCCTTCCCCAGCTGCTCCACAGGGAGCTGCAGGATCCCATTCCCGCTCTTCTCCCCGCAGGATCAGGATCCAGGCTCTGCTCCTGCCTCGTGCCCGTGCTGGCAGCTGCTGTGGGGAGCGTTCTTCTGCTTGGGGGGCTGCTCTGAGCCCCCCTCAGCAGCACCCACCCTGCACACCCCTCCCTCCATCCCAGTGAAACCACTCCGGGAGTTCCCTGCTGGAGAGCAGAAACCCGGGAAAGGGAAGAGAATTCATCCACGTTTGATGCCAGCACAGGATTTGGTTATTTTTGAGGCTGGGCAGTGAAGGAGGACAGATTTTGCCAGCCCAGAGAAGCCCCACAGGTCCTTACTAGCAGTTTACTCCCTGTAGTACAACCAGCAGTGATGCTGAGTGCTCTGCCAAGGCAAGAACACCGGGCCCAGCTCTTCCGGGGATTTCCTGTCCAACTCATCCCACTGGGATCTGTTCAACAGTGGGAAAACTCAGGGATTTGAGTCACTGGTGGCCCAGCACCGCAGCTGAAATCCCCAAAAATCATATTTAATTTTTTTCATGAGCTGCTTTTTGATCAAGGTTTGTTCAAACCACACACAGACTTTCATGGGATGATTAGCTGGAGATAATTTATCTTGATCACTGTGCTATACAATAAAACATCAATCAGCTGGTTTTTCCTGATCCAGCCTGTTCTTTGAGGTGTTCAGTGCTTTGTGGGAAAGCTTGACCAGCATAATTCCAAAATCTACAGTGAAGGCCAGACCTGCTCCCCCTCTATAAAGCTCAGACAATGAAGATTTAGAAGATATAAAATATATAAATCCCTTTTCCCTCCCAGGCTCCCCTCCTGGAGGAAAGGGGGATGGCAGGAGCTGGATACAAGCTTCACTGAGGGATTTTTTTGACAGCTATTTCCAATGAGCAGGGAAAAAAATATGGCAAACCTTGTTCAAAGTTCCTTTTCCCTGACATGAGGAAGCTGAGAACAGCCTCAGCTCCTAAAGGTTGAACAACCAGCCCCAAGGAACAGGAACAGGCAGATCCTGGGATTCTGAGCACTTAATCTGGGGGGATTCCTGCAGACGGGAAGGTGAAAGCAGCCTCAAGGAAGAGCAGACACTCATCAGTTTGCTTCTGGTATTTTTACTCAGTTCCAGGATTTATTTACAAGCAGATGGAAAACTTCACTCCCACCCTGAGGTCTTGGCAGTATCACGAGGTCAGGCTCTGAGAAATGTCATTTTTAATCTGCAGAACTCACCCTTAAACCCAGCAGTAAGAGGTTCAGCGGTGGTTTGCAGTTGAGCTGGGCTTGAGCTGTCCCAAAGGCAAAGATCCTGCTCCAAAGAGTCTGGAATCTTCCCTTCAGACATAAATGGGTTTTTTTTCCAGGTGATTGAAAACCAAAAGTACCTAAAAGTGAGTCCTGGGCTGATGGCAGCTGCCTGGAGCTCTGGGCACTGCTCACGCCGGGTGTCAGAGCAGGCACAGCTGGTGCCCCTCGGTTCCTCCTGGAGGAGATGGTCACGACAAGATGGACACGATGAGGAAACTGAGGAGCAGGGCAGGCAGGAGCTGGAATGCCATGGCCACCGTCCCCAGAGGGGCTGAGGATGATGCTGGAGGACAAAGAGGGGACCAGAGCAAAGAAATCAGCGAGTGAGGAAAACCTCTGGGAGTTCTCTTCGCCTGTCTAACCACGGCAAACACCAGTTTGGGGCTGGAACCAGAGGATCTGCAAATTTCCTTCAACCCAAACCACTCTGACCCTTTCCCTAAGCCCAAATCCAACAGCCCCAAGGAGGAAGTGCTTGCTCAGTCGGGATGTTCAGCAGGGATGCTCCCGGTGGGATTCCAGGAATGCTCCTCACCAAAATTTGCCCTGCAGAGCTTCAGGCTCCTCAGCAGAGCTGCCCCAGTTTTAATCCTCACTGCAACCTCATTAAAGCCCAGCCACCAGGAACCCAAAACTACCTGGGAATTTGGGGGTGACGATGTTGATGTAGCCCTCCTGCGTGCCCCCCGTGAGCCCCAGGTGGAACTTGTCCAGCTCCGACTGTTTCTGCAGCAGGATCCAGTCCCGGACAGGAGCCCTGTTCTGCCACTGGGCCAGCTCGGGGAGGTTCACCCCCAGCAGCCCCTCCACCTCAGGGGGTGTCAGGCGCTGGGGAAAAAAAATCACAGAGCAGAGATTGGGGTGCTGTTGTTCCAAACCTCACATTAGAGATGGAAATGGGACGAGATCTACTCTTGTTTATGTAGAGAAAGAAGTTCTTGGTTTATTTTTGCATCTTCATTTATAGGGTAAGAAGATAAAGGGTAAAGACATCTTCATTTATATCTTAATTTTATAAAAGTATTGTGTTTCTTTTTAATTGGCTAGTAATTAGTTGTTACTTTGGTTAGCACGCTGGAGGTGCTGCTAAATGGCGTTTCTATTAGATTTTATTAGATTTATTTAATTAGATTTATTAGTTTGAATATTTTTCTTTAATGATTTAGGATAGCTTTTATAGGTGTGAGTAATGGCTACAATCTTAGGATTTTTTTTTTTATGAGAATAAATTGTTTTTTATCATTATAGGGTTCTATTCTTAGGAAAAGTTGACAGGTTTCTTATGGGTATTTATTAAGCTAGCTATTAGCTTAGCTTGATTTTATAAGGCTTTTGTTTTATAAGGTTTTTACCTATATGGAACAGGGTGGGAAGGTTGGGGTGGAAAGGACCCCTCTGGCCAGGGAAATGATGAGGTTTCCATGGGAAGGACAAAATTTCCTGAGTGGTTTCACTGGGACAGGCCTCCCTCAGGACCTGGTGGTTCCTCAAAGGCTCTTTCTGTTGTCCTCTGATGCCAAATCTCCTGCACTCAGCTGGGGGTCCCATCCCTGCTGAAATCACTGGGATTTCTGCCCAAATTGGTGACATTGTCTTGTCTGGACATCTCTGGTCTCATGGGCCACTGTGAGACCTGCCCTGAAAAAACTCTACTGGCTTTGCATCCATCCAGGACTCCAAATCCTATTTTTTTAAAAGGAATTTCAGGCCCTTTCTTCACTTTCTACTGGTCTAACAGAAGAAATTTGGATTTGATGTGATTTAGGTTTGATGGGATTTGGATTTGACATCACTCCTTGATTTCCATCAAGGGACAACACAACCAAACCCCAGCACTCACCAATAAAACACAAGGAATGAAAAGATTCCATTCTCACCATCAGAGAATCTCTCCTCAGAGTCACAAAGGTGTTGATGTTCATGTTCACGTTGTTCTTGCTGAGAGCCTTGAGATCTGCAGCGGGAGCCCCCCCTGGCACCAAAGCAAGGAGAATATCAAAGGATGGCAGACCCCAAAGGAGCTGTGCTGGCTCTCTGCACAAAATGAGGATTTCTCCAAAATCCATTAGGCTGGGGCTGATAACACAGCTTCAAAAATCCAGCTGAGTCTAGATACAAAATATCTGGTTCTCCTCCTTTTGTTATTGGGAGTTATTTTCTTGGGCATTAAAAATCTGTGGCGATGGCAGACAGTGGAAAGAAGGGTGAGAAGAATTTGGAAAAATTATTGGCTTAACAGGAAAAAAAAAAAAAATTCTATTTTGTGATGTGGAAAAGGGCTGTGAGATAAATCCTGAGTTTGATTTTCCCTTTGATGGTCTGGAAACAGATTTGGGCAATTTAAAGCAGGCACAGAATCCTTCAACAGTATTTGATGCCGTCTACAAATCGGAAAGACAAACTTTTAACAACTTGACTTTGAAAATTCCCAAATCTTAGATGGATTTTGATACCCACTCTAGTTTGTGGCTAAGAGTTCTCTTTTTCCCACAGCATCCTGGTTTTTTTACATACCCAGGTAAGGTAAAATCAGCTCATAGTAAGCAGGTAAATGGTGCTGGTCAGAGAAAGCCTCTTTGGCTTTCTGGTACAAGAGGTCCTTTGTGTCCTGTGAACAGGCTGAAGGATCCAGAGATGCCAGTCTGCAGAAAAATAAAGATTTAGGGTGAAAAAAAAGCTTTTATTACCTTCAACCTGTTCAATTTTCCTGTATTCTAAGTGTTTCTCTGGGATTCTCTGCACGGCACAGGTGATCCCCAATTCCCAGCTCTACAGAGAGAAGCTGAGAGGAAAAATTATGGCCCAGTTTCCTGCTGAGGATTTATCCTTCAACTGATGATGGCTCTGATGGTGCCTAATAAATCTGTGTGTTTGCCAAGCAGTAATTCATTAATTAATAAATTAATTTCATTCACCAGTCTTTCAGAATAATTCAAACTGGAAATGCTTAAAAACCACGAGGACGTGGCACTCGAAGCCATGGTTTAGTGGCGACCATGGTGCTGGGTGATGACCTGAGAGGCCTTTTCCAGCCTCAACAACTCAGTAATCCTATGAAATTTAATTCCATGAACCCTTCTGCAGATGAAAGCGGGCACAGAGTCAGATTTGCAGCCTGCTGGGCTGAAATAAAGAGAGTTTGATTGCAAATCCGAGCCCTGCCTGGCAGGATGGGCACCAGCAGCTTTTAAACCCCGACGCAGAGCGATTCCTAAATTCCCTTTCCCCGGGAGCAGGAAAAAAAGGAAAAAGATGGGAAAGGGCTTTTGGAAGGAGCCAAGGACACCCCAAAATTTGTGACTCACTTGAGGCTGGGGGGGTCGATGGCCTTCAGCTCGGTGGCATTCAGCAGGCACACGTATCTGGTGCCGATGGCGCTCAGGGCCGTGGCGTTCAGGGCGTTACCCAGCTCCAGGTAGCGTCTAATTGCTGCTGAGGCCTGGAAATCACATTGATTCATTCATCAATTCATTAATTAACCATTTGGATTCTCTGACTTGAATCAGAACACGTGGTTTCAGCCCCTGGGAGAAGGTTGTGCCACGATTACGAGAATAAAACGGAATCATTTCAGATCTGTTTGTGCTGCTCGTGAATTTTGTGTGAGAGAGGGGAGATATTTGGGTTTTTTTTGTTAATTTTTTATAGTTAAGAATATATATTCTATATAGAATATATATTATATAAAATTTATATAATATTTTATATAGAATAGGTTTTTTTTATTGCACACAGATCATTTTTACGTGGCATTAGAAGTTATTGTGTTTGAATTTAACTGGTTAGTAATCTAGTGAAGATTAAGTCATTGGTTGGTTAAGGTTATTATATATGTTTATTAAACCTTTATTTTTATATATGATTATATATATTATTAATGGATTTTTATGGGATACACTTCTTGTTTTTATAGTTTTTTTAAAATTTTTTTTTACAAGACTAAATTGCTGCGCTGATTTTTTATTTTTTTTTTACCAGATTAGATAGCACAACAATCTAGTCTTGTAAAAAAAATAAAAAATCAGCACAACAATCTTTTGCAAAAAAAAAGAATAAAAAAATCAGTTAGGACAACAATCTATTGTAAAGAAAAAAGAATAAAAAATCTGTTGTTCTGATTTTTTCTTTTTTCTTTTACAATAGATTGTTGTGCTGATTTTTTATTCTTTTTTTTTTTTTTACAAGACTAGATTGTGGTGCTAACTGATTTTTTTATTCCTTTTTTTATAAGACTAGATTGTGGTGCTAACTGATTTTTTTATTCCTTTTTTTTTATAAGACTAGATTGTGGTGCTAACTGATTTTTTATTCTTTTTTTACAAGACTAGATTGTTGTGCTGATTTTTTGTTCCTTTTTTTTTTTACAAGACTGGATTGTGGTGCTAACTGATCTTTTATTCCTTATTTTTTACAAGAGTAGATTACTGTGCTAACTGATTTTTTATTCTTCTTTTTTTTACAATAGGTTGTTGTCCTGTTTTTTTATTCTTATGATTTTTTTAATGGGAATTATATATTAAATGAGAATATAAGGCCTTGTTTTATAAAGTTTTACTCACATGCAACATGCCACCCCAAAATTACGGCACCAAAAATGCTTCAACCACCTCAGGACCCACTCAGTTAATCCCAAACCAGCCCCAAAGATGGGAAAACAAAGGGAAGCTCCTACCAGGGAATCCGAGGGCTGAGGCTCATTTCTCAGGAAGGCAGCCAAGGTTTCAGCTGAGCTCATCTTCCAGGTGGAAATTTCCTCCGGGGTGATGATGGGAAGGAGAGCGCCCAGGCTGGAGAGCAGATTATCGGGATAACCATTGGGATATCTCTGTGGAGACACTGCTGTTATGGGCACGGAGCAGGGAAGGTGAAATGATGATTTCAGTGCTGTTTTCAGCTCTCTGATAGGGATTGGAGGGAGGATGGAGCCACGGTCCTCTCACTGAAAGGCTCAGGGCCAACAGGCCAGGAAAATTCTGATTAGACATAGAAATAGGAGATAAGGAATAAATATTTTCCCAGTAAAGGTGGCCAGACTGTGGGAGAGGAGCTGAGAGACAGTGGAGTCACATCCTTGGAGATCCTGAATTCCCCAGGACAAGGCCCTGAACAATCCCATGGTGGATATTTGAGTTATATCCTTGGAGATCCTGAATTCCCCAGGACAAGGCCCTGAGTGATTCCATCCTGGAAATTTGAGTTATATCCTTGGAGATCCTGAGTTCCTAAATTCCCCAGGATAAGGCCCTGAGTGATTCCATCCTGGAAATTTGAGTTATATCCTTGGAGATCCTGAGTTCCTAAATTCCCCAGGATAAGGCCCTGAACAATCCCACCATGGAAATTTGAGTCTCATCCTTGGAGATCCTGAATTCCCCAGGACAAGGCCCTGAACAATCCCATGGTGGATATTTGAGTTATATCCTTGGAGATCCTGAATTCCCCAGGACAAGGCCCTGAGTGATTCCATCCTGGAAATTTGAGTTATATCCCTGGAGATCCTAAATTCCTAAATTCCCCAGGACAAGGCCCTGAGTGATTCCATCCTGGAAATTTGAGTTATATCCTTGGAGATCCTGAGTTCCTAAATTCCCCAGGATAAGGCCCTGAGTCATTCCATCCTGGAAATTTGAGTGATATCCTTGGAGTTCCTGAATTCCTAAATTCCCCAGGACAAGACCCTGAACAATCCCATGGTGGATATTTGAGTTATATCCTAGGAGTTCCTGAATTCCTAAATTCCCCAGGACAAGGCCCTGAGTGATTCCATCCTGGAAATTTGAGTTATATCCTTGGAGTTCCTGAATTCCTAAATTCCCCAGGACAAGACCCTGAACAATCCCATGGTGGATATTTGAGTTATATCC